TACATCGTTATTTTTCGTATAATTCCCTTTCGCGAAACGTGTAAGGACGATTTCACGCGAATACTCGTATTGAATATTAGCGCTGAGCCGCCTATATACGTGGCGCGCAAAAATTATTACATCCATTTATTCAACCGGTACGCCATCGATTTGCCGTTAATTAAAAATAAGACATCTATCATCCCGGAGTCATAAGTGATTAAAAACCTGAAGCGTATGATTGAATTAAATTTGCCTTGCGGCGGGCACGTGCGTGTCACGCGATAAAAAATAATTTGCGGGAGAATTTCCAAGATTAAATTGCCGAGAGAAGAAGTCAATTTCAAGCCTCACCTAAGACAATCTTTTTCGCGTGTGTCGTTTTCAGACCGCCATGTAGAGACGGCGGCGTGTGCCGCATAGAAAATCGCGGTTATACGCTCTTTATTCGGCGCGCGTGCCTCGTCGCGGTATGTATGCGCCTGTGAGTCCCACGGGAATGCAGTCCGTCGAAAAATTCGATGGACGTTATATCTCTCCGCGAGTGCCTCGATGCATCACCAAAATACATGCACGCGCGGCGTCTGCATCCTAATTACTGTGCACACGCCTGATTCGTTCTTAAATATGCGACTCTGTGACTGTAGCTTGCGGAAAGTATTTTTAATTGTCGCACACGTGATGACTACCGCGATTAAACTAATTATCCTGAAAATACGAGTCATACACATGCGCGCGTGTGCGCACGTCACACACACACACACGCACACATTTTTGCGAATATAAAAAAAAATTGTTTATTTTAATCATTAAAATACACGATGGTTTCGTTCTTGCGTGTTAAATGTTGTTTAATAGACCGGATTGTTCTGGTTAACGAAAAGAGCGGTAGGCGAGCCATAACAGGTAGCGGAAGTATATATATGCTGCTGTCGAAACCGACTGTAATTACGCGTAACGATCCTGCTTACGTAATGCATATTTAAGTCGATGTCGGTGGCGATGTTGCGAGAATTCAAAGGAAATGGCGCTGTTTTCTGTTGTTGCATGATTTTTCTGCACGAACGGCATTGAGATTGCATAATGCCTTTTGCATTCCTTTTACGCAAATTAGGAATGCAGTAGCTTACGACTTACGTTATACAATCATTATAGTAGTTTATTTATATGAAATTAGATAAGAAATAACTTTCGTTTTATTTATATATTTAAAAATGCTATTTTTGATCAGAATTTAATTTTCAGTGTATATTATTGTGAAATAGATTCTTAGTATAGATTAACTATGGTAGATTAACTACTATATGTTTTTTAGAGATTATTTTGTTATTTATTTACCGACATTTGTGTAAATTGTGGAAGCACTGATGGCTTTTATTCAAACAGTTTCTGAAAAATCTATTCTAACAGAATTTTGAATATTGCAATAATAACGTAAAAAAATTATTTATTTTTTGAAAATAGTCGATAAAGAAAGTTGATATCAATAACTACTTTGCAGTTTCTTCGCTTGGTGGTAGCACAAGTCAGGCTTTTTCGTTGTTGAGGTTTGAATCTTTGCTAAATAGCGCTACGCGTACTACGTAGCCACGTTTATTTTCCGACACTGCCGATAAAACATCATTTTGGTGCGCGTCCGTGCTACACCTGCAAATGTATATATATGTATGTATATGTATACATATGTATATAATGTATACGCACCAAAATGATGTTTTATTGGCAGTGTCGGAAAGAGAAAAAGTGAGAGAGGGAGAGAGGGCTATTAGATATTTAACATAAAATATATAAATATATAAAATAAGTTAATATTTATCGATACATGTAAGATATAAATATTAAACTGATCCTCAACCAATTACAATCGAGAATATTTATATCTTACATGTATCGATGAATATATTAACTTATTTTATTTATTTATATTATATATTCTATTTATATTATATTATATATTATATTTATATTATATTACATATTATATTATTTATATTAAATGTTAAATATCTATCTGTTAAATAGCCCTCTCTTCCTCTCTCATTTTTTCTCTTCTTTCATGTCACACTTCCCAGACACCACAATTACTACGTTTACACGGCCCGATTTACGCCGAAGTTATAACATTGATGTTATAACTACTGACGTTAAATGCCGTGTAAACGCTCTTTTACGACGAACTTACTACATCGATGTAATAACTTTGTCGTAAAAGGGCGTTTACATGGTATTTAACGTCAGTAGTTATAATATCGATGTTATAACTTTAGCGTAAATCGGGCCGTGTAAACGTAGTCATTGTCCAAAGTCGGGACATAAGACGTCTTTTAGACATCTTTTAGCCATCTTTTCGTAAAACATCTAAAAGATAGCTGAAAGATGTC